AGCAGGAGGTTGGACTAAATCATCTCCACAGGTCCCTTTTAACCTCAGTGATTCTGTGCTCCAAGTCTGCCCTGGGCTCTCTAACTACACAAATTCCTGTTAGGGAACCTCACCACCTACTTTCTAAACAAGTGAAAAACCTGTAACTGTTTTTATCTATTTTAGGTAGTGGTCAATACAATGGGGTTAACAGCTGGTTTTAGATCTCTTTTTAAATCACCTTAAGAATTCTTGTGAATTATTTACCATTTCTTCTGATAGCTTATCACAAAATTAGAAGAATCCATTGTGTTGAGAAATCTGAACCATTCCAGAAAAGAAAGACTTTCTTTGAGAGCAATGTCACTGTTTGAAACGAAACCTGGCAGAAATATCCAATTGAAGGTTACTGAGCTGCCAATCGCAATTAATCAAAAATAGTTGCACAGATGAAGAAACTCACCTCATCTATTGTTCCTAAATCTAAACGCAGTCGACTTTGTAAGGAACGAAGCTTTGGTAAGGATACCTTTTCTATATCTCCATAGTTTTTCATGTAAGATAATGTAGTAGACAGACAAGCAGCAAATTGCTCCTTCAGCTTTTTTAATTTACTTTCCACTTCCTCTTTCTTCTGAAGAGCAAGTTGTTTGTCAGCATCTGCCATATTAGCACGTTCTTTTGCTTCTTGAGCCTCTTTTTGCCATGCATCACATGCCTGGGAGAAAAAGATTTGCAGAATATAAAAAAGATATTTTAAAAATTAAAAACAGAAGAACAAATTCCAAAGCCTCCAAAGACGCTTGTAATGTCTAATTTTAGACATTACGATGCACTATCACTTTAATGATTTTCCATACTTACCCTGCTCTCTAATTATAAACTCTTCTTGTTTTGTCTTAAATTAAATTTTATGTGTCATTGTTAATTGTCTGTAAAAAGCCAGGAGCCGTACAAATTAAAACACATTTTAACTGTTCAATTCATAATTTCATGTCAAGAGACATCAAAACCTGTCAAAATGTAGTAGAACTATTTAACTATTCCTTGGCACAGAGAGAACAATATGAGGGGAAAGAAAGGACTACAGAAAGTGCGCAATACACTGGCAGGTGTCAACAACCTCAGTTTGATTGCTGAGATAGCTGGATAGCATCCAGACACAGTACGCAACCCTAGCTGCGGGCAAGCCACTCCTTTTTGTATGCTTACCATCTGAAACAGGAATGTCCCTAGTTACTTAAACATAGAGATAAGTTGCTTTTCAGCACTATCCTGAAGCTAACTGTCCCTGTCTAGAGAGGGTGATCAACTTCCAGAAAATGAATTCCTCTTTACTGCTCAGTTTCCTTTATGCCACTAGCTCATTTCGGAGATGGAAGAAAACAGCGTACGTGATTGATTAATTTGACAGACTGTAATAAAACTCTAGGTCCAAGGATAATGAAATATATAAAGTGGAAGAACAGTAGGAGATACATGTTAAAAATACAGATAGGAAATTTAATATTACCATAAATTAGTGTACCTGTTTTACTTGTTGCCAAGAATCTTCCCATTGTTTTATTTTTCTTTTGGCATCATGAAGTTCCTGTCTAACTCGAGTTAGTTCGTTCCCACTGGTGCTTGAACTTATTGAGGGGTTAGCGCCACTGCTCAGTACTGGGGATGGAATAGGAGAGAAACTCCCTGTTACAAAGTCCCAAATGCTCCCTGTAACGCCATTTAAGCCTGTCAAAGAAAGGCAGAAAAGAAAATAAACATTCTGCACATGCACCACACATGCAAAATGTATAATTTTAGCTGCAAGACACCCAATGTTATTCCACTATTGTCAGAAATGTGACAATCCAGAAAATGTTTACGATATTTAAAACAATTCCGCAAACTTATCACATGCTTTTTCTTGATGTTTTTAATGAAACCAAGTACAGTCCACCAAAAGAAAAGGGAGAATTTGTCTATCCAAAAATTTTTGCTCCCCACATCTCTTGCATCATTTCAGTTCTTCCTCTTTCTCTTTTTGTACCTTCCTTCAGACGCTACAGATAAAATGCATTCGGGCTGCCTGTATGCAAGCTATTACATTTTTTCCCTTTCAAACACCTCTTTAAATATCTCCTTGCTTTTCTCTCATTGAGCTTTGTCCCATATACCACATTTAACTTTAACTGAAAACAGTACCGTTTTCAGTTAACATTTGTAATAACTAAGCTTTGTCTTCCATATTAAGTCATAGGAAGCACGGAAAGTCTTGAACTGAACATTTCTGACTTGCCATTGTTTCCCCTCTTACACTACACAAAATGCAGCCTTCAACTGACTTACCTAAAGAGTTATGCGAAGAGGCTGAGGTGCCTAACATACTGTGTTCTGACTTCAAAGCCTGAGGCTGCTGTTGGTGAGGAGCCATAGCAGATGAAACAAAAGACTGAGACAGCGATTGCGAAAGAGAACTGAGTGGAGAGGCTGAAAGGGATGATGATGAATGTAGAGATGAGGAACGAGCAAGAGAACCTGGAATATTGACAGGAGCTGAACCTCCCACTAATCTTTGACCTATGTATACATAAAAACAACAACAAAAAAATGAGTGCCAAGTAGTACACAGTTCTCTGTAATTCCTATTTGCACAGTCTAAGATTATTCAGATGTTCCTTCTTTTCCAAAAAAGGTGAGTAACACTCATTTCATCTATTGATTTATTTTTAAATTTCAATCAGATGTAAGTATTCTTCTGAATAATGTATCCATTTTAAATTAAATTATATATGCAAATAATTTTAATAAAAATACTTATCCGCTGTTGCAAAAAAAAAAAAATTTAAAAAGAACACATGGAAATAGTTTTCTAAGCGCCTGAAAACAGAATCTGTAGCTTAACACAGCAGTGGCCTCAGCTGCAGCTACAGAGAAAGAGAAAACACTTTTCAGAGCAGGTTATTCGACTTACTCATTTTTACACCCAACTAATGCAAGTAGAGAAACTGGAAGTTAGAGAAGTAAGAAAAGTTGTTTTCTATTTTAAAATGTAAATTAGAGTTGCAAAAGTAGATTAACGACCTCTAAAATGTTACATAGTGTTAAAAGTTAGAATAGCATAGCATAAAAATTAATAATACTTTAGTCAAATGCATTGTTCATTATTTTCTAAAATAATGATAATAAAAATATATATTTTTAAAAAAAGGATGTTAAATTACACAGTTACTTAAATAAGCATGCACAGATACACTGCATTTTCCTGGTCAGGAAACAGTTCAAGATTAACTGTAAAGATTTTATTCATCAATATATTTTAATAGCATCTACAAATGGCACCATCTTCCCGTTAAGAAAATAAATAAGGCATATATGATAAGTAATAAGTATATATGATTATACTTAAAGTAAGAGTCATAGCTTTGGATTTATGTTTTTGCTTTAAACTGGTGAATTCATGTCAACAGAGAAAACATTGCTCTTTTTGGAAATATTTCTAAAAAAAGAGTGAACCAGGGATGCTCATTACAAGTTACATTGCCACGATGTCTTCCAAAAACAGATCTTAAAATACTCAGCAAATGTTATCAAAGTCGGCCATGACTTTGACTTGTGACCAACTGTATGAGGAAGCTACACAACAGACATATAACCACAAATGTACCAAATATACCAGACAATAAACCTACACCATTATTTGCCAGAGGAGCAAGGAAGCAAAGAAGTACAGGGAGTTTAGTTTAAAAATTTGACCAAGTAAGAATTCTTTTAAAAACTAAGAACCAAAATAAAACCTCAAAACAAACGCATCACGGAATAGTAGCGGAAGAACTGTTTATTTTCTGATACCTAAAGTACCCAGTTCGATTTTGGCAAATATAATCTGCCTGCATGAACTTTATCCTCCCCATATAAATGACACTGGTTACAGTATTTGCTTTGTATTCCATACTTTATAGTAGTTCCAATGAAGTATAGTGGTTCCTGCAGCATAAAACAAAGCAGTAAATCAAATACCAGTCGAACAAACTGTAGTATCAGGATAATTGTTGAACTTGACTCCAATGGCCGAGAAATAAATTTGGAATTGCATAAAATATCAGACTTGGTTTGTTTGTATGAGGGGGAACAGCATGAACAACAATGGAAAACATTAATAGATAGCACATGAACTATTCTAGTGACCTGTTAGCATCATCACTCTACTGAAAATAGTACAAGGCCACTCAACTAGAATAATTCTAAAGCCCTAAAACCTCTGAAGAAAGACAGCGCTACTGATATTATTAGCAAGAGTCTACATAAAACTAGATTACTATCTACAGAGACTATAAAATTTTGGACCTTTCTGCATGGGTTCCCTGATATCCTGAATTGTACAGGTACCACAAACACAGCCTCTGGTAGCAAAGAACCAGCTTGCAGAAAAAACAAAGTTACTGAGGTGAGGGGAGGGCACCGGAGCTTTTAGCACTGTTGTCAAGAGCTCAGAGATTGACGCCTGGTATAAAAGACTTTTTAATCATTGTATTCCAACATTGGCTTTTTCCAGCTCCTCCTACCAATAATGAAGCCACTGCTATGATCTGCCTAGATCTACTTGATGCCAGAACATCAACGCTACCAAATAAGAATTGTAAACTGCGTCCCCAAATTCTCTGCTCGGATCTGAAGACATAAGCATGTCACCTGTCACTTCTTTTTGTGAGGTATCTTATGCCCACCTTCAAATGGGTGGGCTGCCGAAGTGAAACAGTCCCTACTAAACCAGGGGAACTTTCCTGAATTCAGTGTGCTCTGCAGCCTGGCGTGTATCCACAGATTTTTAGGTTGATTAATTTAGTGATCTCAACCAGAATCAGTCTTTCACCCTCTACTGCCAAGGAAGTCACTTGGGTCAATGTAGCTTCTGCACCTTAGGACGAAGTTTTGAATCTAGAATGCTCGGGTTCTGTCATACCCACTGAGGTCCCAGTGACAGCCTATATATTTCAACGCTATCATATAAATCCGTATTTTTAAAAAAACAGTGGACTAAAGATATTAAGTAACTTTTTAAGAGAAGAAAATTTGCATAATATATAGAGACACTTAAACTACAAGCTTTTCTTCTTGGACTAACCGTCAGTAATAATGAACTAGAGGCAATAATGAACAAGGGAGTGGCTATAGCCGTTTTATCCTTTGCATTCACAGCTACAGGGCAAGAAGGGTGCGGAAGGCACAAGTATGCCAACCAAGAATCCAGTTAAGTTCACACAGTTGGAAGCAGCACACGTGGACAACAACCTTAAGAATCACTGTAGACCTCTTTCAAAGAAATGTTAGCAAAACAGACATCAGAAAATACAGGGTATATACATCTAAAAAACTAGTTAACAGAATTAGCTGGTAAGACTAGTTTTTACAGAAGTGACATTTTGATTCTTTTGTAGTCTATCATGCACTTCACTGTTCATGTACTTTTTAAAAAATTCAAAGGCCATCTAAATACTTGGCTTGTTTGGATTTCTGTAACTACTATAATTATTGCTACCTTATAGTAAAGGGCAGTACTTTGTGTCTCAACTTTATAATTTAGTTTTCCCACTGCGAAAATTTAAGAAGGATATCATAAGGCAAATGTTTATGACAAAACAGCCTGGACCAAGTCAGCAATCCCTAATTAAGTTAAGGTAGGCTTGACTTCTCTACAGTTGCCTGGAGATATTATAGAAACATGTCTATTTTCTTGGCTATATGACTCTCAAAGGAATAGGCTAACTTGAATTGTTAACAAAACTACAGTTGGTCAGTTTTCACTTCCTATTTTCCTATTCTTTTTTCTTATTCTTGTTTATTTTTCCTTTTCTGCTTCTATATAGAAAAGGTAGTGTTTTTAACTTTTTTCTTCCTTGATGTTTCTTCCCTTCATCCTTCCTCCCTGGCTGTCTTTTCCCTGTACTGCTCTTCCTTTGCTACATCTCCCTCTCCCTTCTAAGAACAGGCCAACTGGCTGAAGGACTTGCTGACAGATCTAAGCTGAAAAATATAGACAGACATGAATAAGGGGTAGGAAGCAAGCCCAACAGACCTGCGAGTACATTGCTCATTCTGTGTTAGATATATAAAAAAGTTTAAGGCCCTAACTTTTAAGAAGTAAAGTCCTAAAGGTGGCTTGCTCCTACTCCTCAAGAATTATCCCCCTTAACCACAGAAGTGCTTGATGCTCCCACAGCACATACGGTCTCCTGCCAGACATATGCAGCACTCAACACTCAGGTAGTTCAAGCTAAAGCATAATGCCCTCCTGTAAAGATATATAAATAAGTCCTTCCATCACCTATTATGCCTGTAGGCTGAAATCATTGAGCATGCTCAAAAAAACGTTTACTAGACTGACCCCTTTCAAAACACAGCCAGGATGACAGCAGTGCAACCTCTTCACACCCCAAAGCCAAGCAGCTGGAGAACAACTGAGAACTTTTCTTCAAAGTCTTTGCTGTGTATAACTATTCTGATGAATAAAAGTTTAGAAAGGTAAGAAAGAAAAATATTTAAAATTAGTATATAGCTTATCTTTACAAACTGGACCTCTTACTTGCTAATCCAAGGTCACTGCTTTCTTGATCTTCTAATTCTCTATCTATGGATGCGACGTTCACATCATTAAAATGTAAATCTAAAGCAGAACCTGTTAAACAAAACATCGTATCAATGCATTATCCCTGAATTATACATAAAACTAGCCAGATGGCTGAAGTAAAGAAATTTTATTTGACTATTGTTATTAGTACTTCCAGCACAGAACTCTTCAGCATCTAGGTTATGATCTGAAGTACAGTACAAACACACAGCAAAGGACAGCCTCTGAATTTTTTTAAAGGGAAAAATTTCATATAGAAGCTGTTACAGCTCTTCAAGCTTATCAGCTAAACAACGGATAACGTAGAGGTGGCTATTTATTTGGATTTCTAATAAAACTGTCACCTGTTCTGCTTAGGCGCAGAGTAAAACAAAAAGGAAGAAGAGAAATAGAAGATAGATTTGTATGTAAAAATATTTATTATTGAATAAAAACAGGTTTTATACCTGAGAAAGGACACTGTAAATGCCCTTTAGGGCAGTTACCCTTTGGTGTAACTGTAAATGAGTAAACTTATCAGGGCATACAGATATAAGGAAGCTGGGAATCAATCACGTGGTAATATTCAAATGGAAATGTGTGTTATTTTTATGCAACTAAAGCAGAACTCAAAACCAATGTGTAATTTACACTTAATAGTTAGACCGGCTTACATTTTAAGGGTTATGTCAGTCTAAAGTTCCTATCAGTGATATCATGAAAAATTCTCTTCAGTCCACTGCTTATTCTATACTATATCCTTGAATAAAGTGTGAGAAGATAGATACTTTCCTTCTCCTTCCCCTTAACTTCTTTTCTTCACAGAAAGGAGAGTAAATAAGTCTATCCCTTTGTACCTATATTTTAACTTATATTGCACAAATTCTCTGTCAGGAAGACAGGAGAGAAGTTAGTATAAATACTGATTTTACAGGTAGGAAAACTGTATCCCAGTGAGCGTGGTCAGTGAGAGTGATCACCTCTGTAAAGAATTTTTAAATCTTCTGTTGAAAATCACTATTAAAAACTGGACACAAAGGGTTGATAAGGTACAAACAGAAGTAAATAGATACACCAGCTCCTGTAAAAGTTTCCAAAAGATACAAAAGGGATCTCTTGAGTCCTTTAGAATCAGACATATGCCTCTTAGCTTGGTCCTAAATATTAGGCACTGTAAACTGCATAAAATCTCTTTGGCAGAATACTACACAGTTTTAAAAGCAATACAAGTCAGAACTGGAAAAAATATTTGGATCATTAATACAAGATCAGTGAAGGATTATTCTGTATAGGCACTTTCTAAGGTTGACCAGGACACCTAATGGAATCTAGAATCTGGGATCTGCAGATAATACATAAAGAGTGTTACTGATCTAGAAGCAGGATCCACAGAACAGTGCTGAGCAGGAAGCTGCCTAACCTGTCCAGAACAAAATACTGGCCAAAGAGTTAAAGTTCACATAGTATACAATCACAGAACCTCAAAATGGTTGAGGTTGGAAGGGACCTCTGGAGATCATCTAAGTCCAACCACCCTGCTCAAGCAGGGTCACCTAGAGCACATTATCCAGGATTGTGTCCAGACGGCTTTTAAATATCTCCAAGGATGGGCGACCTGTGCCAGTGCTCAGTCACCCGCACAGGAAAGAAGTTTTTCCTCATGTTCAGACAGAACTTCCTGTGTTTCAGTTTGTGCCCGTTGCCTCTCGTCCTGTCGCTGGGCACCACGGAGAAGAGTCTGGCCCCATCCTCCTGACACTCTCCCTTCAGATATTTAAACGCATCTGTAAGATCCTCCCTGAGCCTTCTCTTCTCCAGGCTGAATAGTCCAAGGTCTCTCAGCCTTTCTTCATTGGAGAGATGCTCCAGTCCCCTCATCATCTTTGAAGCCCTCCGCTGGACTCTCTCCAGGAGTGCCATGTCTCTCTTGGACTGGGGAGCCCAGAATTGGACACAGTACTCCAGGGGAGGCCTCCCCAGGGCTGAGTAGAGGGGCAGGATCACCTCCCTTGACCTGCTGGCGACACTCTGCCTAATGCACCCCAGGAGACCATTGGCCCTCCTGGCCACAAGGGCACACACGCTTAACTTGTTGTCCACCAGCACTCCCAGGTAGGTCCTTCTCGGCAGAGCTACTTTCCAACACGTCAACCCCCAGCCTGTACTGGTACATGGGATTATTCCTCCCCAGGCGCAGGACCTTGCACTTGCCTTGGTTGAATTTCAGGAGGTTCCTCTGTGCCCAACTCTCCAGCCTGTCAAGGTCTCTCTAAATGGCAGCACGGCCCTCTAGTGTATCAGCCACTCCTCTCAGTTTTAAATCATCAGCAAACTTGCTGAGGGTGCACTCTGTCCCTTCATCCAGGTCACTGATGAATAAGTTAAACAAGACTGGACCCAGTATTGACCCCTGGGAGACAGCGCTAGCTACAGGCCTCCTCTGTGCCGCTGATCACAACCCTCTGAGCTCTGCCATTCAGCTAGTTCTCAATCCACCTCTCTAACTGCCCATACTTCATCAGCTTGTCTATGAGGATGTTGTGGGAGACAGTGTTAAAAGCCTTACTGAAGTCAAGGTAGACAACACCCACTGCTCTCCCCTCATCTACCCAGCTAGTCATTCCATCATAGAAGGCTATCAGGTTGGTTAAGCATGATTTCCCCTTTGTGAATCTGTGCTGACTACTCTTGATCACCTTCTTGTCCCTCCATTACCTTTCCAGATATCGAGGTGAAGCTGCATAGTTAATATGGCAAAAGTATTGGGTGGGGAGACCACCTGCTGCACAGGAGAGGATGCCCAGAGAAGGATGCTGGTCTGCCCTGCCCATCATTTCCCATCCGGTAACTATCACCATCGTGTGCCATCAGCGGTAGAGCCCACTAAGAAATCTTCATGCATGTGAATCTGTCTCAACATCCTTTGTGCAATAACACCATACGCTTGTGAGAGTAAACCTCTCATCGTTACGCTGCAGAATATTCTGGGGTAGGTCTGTCTCACTTTCATCTAGTGAAGCTTTTTCACTTTGTCTCAACAAACTCAACATTCTCTAAGGCATAAAAAGAGAGACTGTAAAACCTAGTCATTAGCACCATCGTTATCTTTGGAAGAAATGTTTTTTTCAAGCTCTCACATCATACATTCCTCCCTCACCTTTTCAAGCTCACTCTCCCCTTTCTATCTCATGAAGTATTTAGGATTCCATACTTTACTAACATTTCAAAAGTAATTTGCAGTGTCTGGCTCAGTCTGTTGCTACACACGTACCACAAGCTGGAACAAAACATAATGAGGTTAATGTGAATTATACTGCTTAAATAATAGATCAAATCCAAGCCTGCACCTTTGCTAGACCACTAACTCATGTGAGGCCTTAACTCATTCTGCCATGCTGGTCCTCCCCAACTACACAAAGGGCTGATATGCATCTTTACTTATTTTCTAGATTTTGGAAGTTTAAATTCTGACACCTTCTGGCTCTCTCAGATTCCAACTCCAATTTCCACACAGTGGAAAATCAAAGGAGGGAGTGCAGGGAGAGAATACGACATTTTTAGATCACAACATATATGGAAGACGAAGGGAGAGACTCCTATTTCCCTCAAATGGCACGTCTCACAGACAGGCAAAATCCTCACATTTGACTACCCAATAGAAAGCAAAGAAAGCAATCAAAACATTCCTAGAAGGACTGTCCTTGCAGAACCTAACACATACATATGAGAGTAGAGCATCAGGCTGGCAGGTGTCCCCTCATGTTAAGGTCTCACCTTCTCCCCATTATCACCTGACTCATTTCCCTTCTCTACTGCCCATTGCCAATTTATTTGTCTACAAATCCTTTTCCTTTGACATTTTACTCATCTAATTTCTTCAGTATCTTAGCAAATATTTTAAGTATTGTATTTTTAAAATGTATTTTCAAGAGTATTTCAAGCACGCTGCAGTTTTTATGGTGTTCAGCCTCAACACTAGATACTTTGTGTATATGATCGGCATGCTTATTCTCAGCTCCCTTGCATCCTTCTCTTCCCCTGCTCTTGGAGATTATCACTCAGCGAGCAGAAAGGGAGAGCCTGGAGATCCCCATGAGATGCAGCATCTCCCTTACTGACAAAGCAAGATGAAAGGCCACAGAAAGTGGTTCAGAAAGTTTCTGAGCCCTCGATAATATAACTCTTTCCTGAGTCCTCCAATCCTTTATTAAGATCTGTTTATCCCATAATCCTCTAGCCCCTTCCCTTGCTGCAGCTCTGCCCCATTCTTTTGATTCTTCAACCTACAACTTCCTAAAAACACTTATCTCTATATTTTCTGTTGTACAACAATCTTTAATTTTCTGCTCTGCTCAGATTATATACAGCACTTTACTTCCACCACCATCCTGTATACACCCACAAAGCAGAACTCTGAAAAGAAAATTTTATATATTTGAAATTCTTCTAGGAAAAAAACAAATTACTCAGTTATTGAAAAGTACACTAACATACATACATGAGACATATTCATTTTATGGTTCAGATTCTATTAACAAACAGCATACTGAAAATGTTTTAGAAAAATAGCAGAGGCATGTTTTAACACAGAGGAATCAAGAGCCTCTTAAGCTCAATAATCTAATGACACTGGGAAATGGGAAACAGCATAACATTGCTTAAAAGACTTATCATTTTGTAACACTTGTTCAGTATATCATGATTTAAAAATTATAGTGAATTAGCACCACATCTAGTATACAGAAATTAGATCTGTTTTTTTACTGCTATATTAATAACATGTTACAGTCAACTGGTCCCTACTTATTCCAAAATGCTTCTCTTGACAAAAATATGATTTTGTTCCATCTCATTACTTAAATATTAACCAAAAGCCCATGAAATTATATTACTTGCATAGAATGAAGACTAAAAATTCTGCTCAATTTAATTCTGAAATTTAAAAATAGCTTAAAATTTATTTCCTGTTCTAAAACACAGATCAACAAACAAACCTTTAAGGAAGGCAAGCTATATACTTGCAAGACTGCAGAAAAAATATCCGTCATTTAATATTCTACATAGATGTCTATGCAGAATAAAAAAATCAAATAAAAAAAAAAATCAAATGCCTAACTTACCGTCTCTAAGTGCTGACTCACTCTCTGCAGTCTCCTCGTCTCTGGTACACATCAATTTAAACACAGAATTCTTCAAGTACAGCAGCTAATCGCAGCAACTCCCTAATCATGTGACTTAAGCCACAGAATGTTAAATACAGTGTCTTTGAAATCACGTTATTCCATGCCACTGCCTCCTGAATAATTTATATTTACCACAAAAATGGCACATAATTCAACAGATTTGTGGATAATGCCAAATTAAGGGGAGCAGCTGATACACTGGATGGTAGGACTGCCACTTAGAGGGATCTCAACAGGCTGGAAAAAAAGACTGATGGAAGTTCAACAAAGGCAAATACAAAATAATGTGTCTGGGGCAGAATAACCCCATACAACAATAAAGGCTGGGGTCCAACTGACCAGAAAGTAGCTTTGCAGGAAAAGGTCTTGGAATCCTGATGAGTTTGGCATGCTCTGTGGCAATAAAAGCTAACTGCATTTTGGTCTGCATTAGTAAGAGTGTATCCAGCAAGTTAAGGGAAGTGATTATGTCTCTCTGTTCAGCACTTGTGAGAACACAACAGGAGTATCATGTCCAGTTTTGGAGTCCCAAGTACAAGAAAGACACTGACAAGTTTGAGTGTATCCAGTGCATGGCCACTGGGATGGTTAGTGGGCTGGAGCATGTAACATATGAGAGATATGAGATAAGAGAGGTGGGTTTGTTCACTCTGAGGAACAGAAGACTAAGGGGAACTGTAATTACTGTCTTCAACTACTTGATGGTTATTTACAGAAATGGTGGAGCCATACTGCTCTTGGAGGTTCACAGCAAAAGGATGAGGGGCAAAGGACACAAGTTGCAGCACTGGACATTTTAATCAGATGTAATGAAAAAGTCTTCACAATTAAAGTGGTCAAACAAAACTTGACTGGGCAAGAGCCCGATTAGACTTTGAAGTTGGATTTAACTTAAAATCTCTTCCTGCTTTGAGAAGGAAGTGGGACAACAAGTCCCTAACAATCTAAATTTTTCTATGATTTAGTAATTTGGAAAACAAGTGAATGCTGATAAAGATTATATGCTTTTATGGATGAGATTAACAAACTAAAAAGCATGGGAGTTTGCTTCCTCCTCTTCCAGAGTAGTCAAAGAAATAAAAACATTGTGAATATTATGGCCTGGCTATTTGCTTACTTGCAGAAATAGAGTTTTTCATTTAAAAGACAATTTAAAAAATCAGGCACAGCCATTAAAAAGGAAGCTCAAATTTGTTAGCAATTTTAAAACTTTGTTCATCTAGCCTAATATAAGAAAACATGGTACAGCTATGGAAAGAAAAATATTTTGACTGTTCTCCTTTGAGATGCGTCCTCTACATCTGTTCTCAGTATATCTGCATGCAGCACTACAGGCTGAACAATTTTTCTCCTATCCCATTAGCTGCAGTGGCATATACAAGCTCCTCCCTTTCACATTCCACACACAAGACTATAAAAGGGGCATCTCCATCTTTCACCTTCTCAGTTCTTCTCGCTCCCAGAAACTCCTAGGAAATATAAGGAATTATGGAAGAAAGAAACAGGAAGCTGGATTGCAAATATATGTCAATACAAGGCTACCTAAAGAAGAACAGTAACACGTAAATAACTTTTCTTGGCTTTTGAATGTCTTTCTAAATGCACATTCACACTTGGGTGACTGCAACCAGTACAACATCACCAAGTCATACCTAATAAAGAAGCAGGGGTAGCAGGCAAGGTGAAGAAGGTATAGAGACTGAAGTAGCGATTTTCCAAAGCTTCACGTCCAGAACCTTCTGCAACAATGTAATGCTTAGCAAAAGAGTGAATGCAGCTCCAGCCTGGGTTCAGGTGTTAAAGACCCCATTGCTCTATGCAGTTAGCTCAGACTGCCTCAGCCCTGAGCTAAGCACTATGGAACACGGCCTTCAGGCTGTGCAGGACGCTGCACCCATGGCTCCTCAGTGACCAGCCCTGGGTTCTGATCCCTCCATGGTGCTGATGCTCGTTAATGCAAGGCTACATAACTAATATGCATTTCAGACTACAAAGAATTCTTACATATTGATGTGCACGTTTCATTCTGGAGAACCACCATAAGCCCTAGGATTTCAAGCTGTCTCAGTATCCTTCTCTCCCCTTCTCTCCGGCTACGTTTCATCAAGTGAAGAAAGAACCATCTATTGCTATATTCCTGGGCTGAGGGGATAACTGGTAGAACACTTTAATTAGAATACTTGTCACATTTATTTATCAACAGAAAGAGTCCAAACCTCCTGGGAAACAGTATCTTTGAGTTTCGTCACATGAAGAGAGGGCAAACATATATTTTAAAGTCATATCTTTATGCACCAAAAGTTCAGCTTTGCACGCTGTGTCACGCGATTGCTTATTGCCATATGACTTAGCACTGTGAGGTAGATTCTTACAGAAGCGTTGGGCTGATGCAGTAGTTTTGCCAGCAACACCAAGGAATGAGTATAGTGAAAGATTACACTCTGCTTGATGCATCTCCAGCAAAGCATCTATGCTTTTCAGATGCTGAGGACAAATGGTACATGGACTATCCAAACCATGGACTATAAGCTCTATCCCAGATACAAGACATGTAATAGATTCTGAGTAATTTTCACTGTATTTGACACCCTGTCAGGACACTTCTTTCTAAGATCATCATCTGGCTATGGATAAACCATAATTTCCATTTTTTTAGAATAAAAATGTGTGTATCTCTCTATAAATGCTGTTGAGAATAGGAACTCTCCAACCAAATGTCATGTATAGGAATTTACAGAGTGAGAATGTACTTATTTATAAATACTCGAACAGTAGCTAATTATCTCCCTTACCCACTGATATAATAAACAGAACAGGATGAACTGACATGATTGCCTACTGCTAACTAGATTCAGTGACCTTGGAAGTTCTTCCCTCTGCTACTAAGACCTTGGCTAGAAAATCAGTATCTAATTATTACTGAAATATTTATCTCTCTTTACATTTTTCACATAAAAAGCCTTGCTGGCTAGAAGCAAGAGAACGACTCTGAGATAATGACAAATTTTGGAATTGAATGTTTCCCAGAGTCTGTCTTGTTGTATGCCCAGAATGTAAGGGTCGCTCCTCACTGTGTCCTTTCAGATCCAGTCCACGTGCTCTGCACAAAAGATTCTGTCTGGGAACAGACAAATACCCGGACTGGAGAACATGCAATCAGCCAAAGAAAAATCTCCCATTTTCATGTGAACTCAGTAAGATCTATAATTTCACCTGCTATGGTAATTAGAAAAAAAAAAGTCACATTGCTTCTACTCCTGGGAGCACAGGGAATTGCATTACGAAAGTGTTACACCTTCTTAAAATCACTGTCCACTACCAATGCTAAAATCCCATTATAAATGGCCCATTCACTAATTCCTCTGCTCATGTTGTAGACCTCATGAAAAATCGTGAGGTTTTTTTTTTTTGGGGGGTTTTTTTTTTATTAAAATTCAGATATTGTCTTAAATTACATATAATAAAGAAAATATGTAAAATATTACTGTATTTATCAATAAGCATTTCTGAATCTACGATGAAATGAGAAAAACTTGAAAAATGCAACAAAATATGTACAATTAGAGATTAAATGTTCAGACTTACCTATAACTGATTCAACTGTATTACTGCCAGGATAGAATGGGAGAGCTTTTGCACTGATAGTAGAGAGAGTTGTAGGAGATGAACTATCTGATCCAACACTGGAGGCCAGACTGGAAGTTATACTTGAAGCAAGTGGGTTAACCACTGAGAAAACACTGAGATGGTTCTGTTCAAAACAAAAACATATATATGTGTGTGTGTGTGTGTGTGTGTGTGTGTGTGTGTGTGTAAATAAAATATACATGCGCACGTGCGCGCGCACACACACACACACACGTATATATTTTTATATATATATATATACACACTTACATACAGATATGTACAAATGCACATGAAATAAAATGTATTTTTAAAAGATATTCTTTTAATTCAAAACAGAAAGAACTGGTAGGTATTTTGTGAAATGTGAAATCTGCACTCCAGAAGAACCTGCTGAATGATTAGATTAGGATAACTTTCCATCACATTTAGCAATACATGCATTTCTCTAATTTGGATGGACTTTGCTACCATAAGGGGGAATTCTGCTTTCAGAAAGAAAGGTATTTAAGTATTTGCAATGAAACTATACAGTATAATTAGGCAGCTGAAGTCTGACGACCTTTTTCAAAAGGAAAGCATCTCTTGAGGAGTTGTACCCTTTCACTATACATTTTTATGCAATTTATACTCTTTGTGTGATCCCCAAATTTTCATATTTAATCTAAAAGTAATTGGTGCCTAAATTGATATAAAGTCCAAATAGTCAAGAAATATGACTTCACTCCACGCATCCATTGCATTATATAATGACTGGTGCTTCTTCTTTCTAGCTGAATATTATTTTCATACTAATCAAAAATTTAAATTACAAAATGTAATAAATGCAAATAAAGTGTAATCATATAGCATTGGAAATTTGAAAATAACTTCACAAAGTCTACAGAGACTTTGTGCAGAATCCCCAGTAAATTTTTTTATTCTTTATTTATTCCCTCCAATCTTTTAGCTAATAAAAAGAACACTTAACTGAGACTGAATTAATCGAGACCGCATCTCATTGCCTTCTGTGTGATGAGCAGTGATTGTACAGCATCTTCTGATACACTCTCCTGATTTCTACCGATACCATAGAAAATTTCTATTTCAAAACTAGATACAGTGTGAGACTGAGGCTGATAATGACCATGATCACAAAATCACAGAATCGTTTAGGTTGGAAGGGACCTCTGGAGATCATCTAGTCCAACCTCCCTGCTCAAGCAGGGTCATCTAGAGCACATTGCACAGGATCGCGTCCAGGCG